ATCTTTTATCTATCCACTTTATGAAAAGTTAAAATTCTTTCAATTTATTGCCCTGCACTTTAAGTTTGTGATTGATATGAAAAAATGAAACAAAACAGTATGTAGAAAAGATTATTATTATTATTATTATTATTATTATAATGCAACATATGTATTTGCCAATCTATTTTGTTGAATGTATGTATATACGAATAAGAATATTGCGAGAAATATCATTTTTTTATCAAAATACTCTCTATTTGGTAGTTAACAATCAGATAAGTATCTTTAATGTTTCTTTTTCTTTTTCATAATCAAAAGAAAAGCGAGATATTTGTAATACTAATATAAATAGATCAAATCACCGGTCGAGTTTTTTAATATCTTCATTGCAATTCTTTGTCCATCGATTCGCATAAATTTTATTGAACATTTTCATATGAAATGCAAGAACTTATTAAAAATATTAATATTTATTATTATGATTACATCATTGTCGTATAAAAGTATAAAAAAAACAAAAAAAAAAGAAAAAGAAAAATACAGAAAGAAAAAGGAAACATTTTCTACACTTTTACACTTTGTCCTTGTTAGCATTCTCTGTTATTTTTCTTGTTGTTTCTTCGTTAATTAATTCTGCATGTTTTTCTAACATTTCTAATAAGAAAGGTTCTTTCATCAAGAGTTCTCCTGAAGTTGCTATGAAATTAGTGATAAGTTTTTTCATTACATTTATCTTGTTTATATTTCTCATCATTTTTTCTTTATTTCTGTAAAAACAATAATATAAAATGGTAAACAGTGCAATTATTGGACATACTCTTTATAATTTTAATCAAGTGAAAATTGTATTGACTTAATGGCTTACTTTACTACGGTAGGATTTGTTTTCTGTAACTTTTGCTTTCTTTGCTCTTCCTTCTCCTTTAAAAAGCTATGATGGTCAAATATTGCTTTCTGACATTGTATCTTTAAATCCAATTGTTTTTTAAATGCATTTTGAACAGATTGCTGAGTCGATAAAATGGCATCATTTAACATAAATAACTTCTTCATAGCCGCGTACATTTTCCTATATAGATAATTAATTTTTAAATAATATTTTATATTATTATTTGCAAATAAATAATAATAATATATTTTCTTTTTTTTTACAAGATATTTGGTCATACTCCTGAACGTCAGTTTGATGTTTGTCAGACATAACATCCAGTATAGTACTACTATGTAAACATTGTTCAATTGCAATATTATTTATAATTGCTTTAGCTGTATCTTCTTGTAGCCTTTGAAAAGTATCTTCCATATCGTTTGTAGGCACTTCCTCAGTTAATGCTAAAAATATGAAATTGTTATTATTTATGGGAATACGATGAAAGCAAATATCTTGATAATAAAATTATAACAATACTGTTATCTTTTTTAGCTTTAAGCATTATCGTCCTAGAGGTTAAGCGATGAATTGATTTTCTTAAAATTTCAATCTTCTCATCTGTAGGTCTGTAATCATCTTTGCAAACTGCACCGATTGAAAATTCTGCAACATTTTCTCTCAATTGCTTTAACGCCCGTTCTAGATTCTTAAAGTCAACCATTTTTTTTACATAACTTGAAGTATTTTATATCGTAGATTTAAGTAAATTTCATATATGATACAATAACAACAAACTTTATTATACTTCCTCTAGAAATCATATGTACACTGAATGACAAGTTGGAACAGAGAAAAACAATCACGCATCTTTTCTATATTTGTAGTTCCCGCCTAGAGGGCTCCCTTGTAGCGCCGCTTTAAGCGCCCTCTCGTCTGGTACTAACCAGTGATTTCATAAAAGTCTCTAGTAAATTAATACAATCTGCTACAATTCTATGATTTTAATTTTAATTCTCTGATTTTATATTCTAACTTTAATTCTTTCATTGTAAACGCATTATTTACAATATGCATTACATATATATATATTTCTTTTTGTTTTTTTTTCATTTTCATTAATAGATAAAAAACTTTACGTACAAAGAAAATAGAAAATATATATGTGATAAGTAAAGTACGTGTTCGTGAAGTGATACTAAAAGAGAATAAATCATATTCGACGTTTGCATAGGCAGAAAATTGAAACAATGAAAATATTATTATCATCAAGGAAAATGTTATGTCAAATACTGTTTCGATATTAAACGATCGATTTACTTATTGTGTAGGTAAGTTAATAGATTATTCACGATCATCAATCATAATCAAGGGTCATCATTAAGGGGCGATAAATATTATTAATCAAATTGTAATTTTTTTAGAAATACTTTTATGATCATCAGAAAAGAAATTTTATCTTCTAATCAATCATGGTACGATGAAATTTTATTATTTCCAAGAATGAATTTATTAATAGACACGAATATTATACAGGTAATCATTATTATTCGTATCTGTCATTTGATTTATTAGAAATTATGCAAATTAATTTTCCATTATGAAAGATAAGTTATAATAAATTATTACGACATTTGATTTGTAAAGTTTTAAAATACGAGAAGATAATAAAACGTTTTGCAAACAATTGCGAGTAAATGGAAAAGGCCAAGGGATAGGTAATGGCGGATAAAAAGTTAATCGGCCGCGTGTGCGGTGAACTATTTAATTTGCGTTAGCGGTGGCATCGGCGGTGTGAGCGTAAAGTTACACCGAGCTCTCTCGGTCTTTGAGGTTGCAGGCCAAGTTTGGTTGGTGGTTGATGGTATTCGCTAGAGATAAAGAGAAAGGGGTATGAAGGAGGGATGTAGGGATGGAGGGATGGAGAGATGGAGGGAGGAACAAGAAGGGGGAAGAGAGAGACGAGAGATAGGAAGGGTGGACGAAGCTGGTGAACGTAACAGGATGGTGGCTGCCATAGGTATATAGATGTACTCTTAAGGTGAGGGTTAGAGAGCGAAGGGGGATTGTGTAAGATGGTCTCGAAGGGATGAGGATTGGTAAAATGATGGGAAGGGATAGAAGGAGAAAAGGAAAAGAGGAGAAGGAGGAGTAGGTTTGAGATTGTGGTCTGAGGTTCTCGTAAGCTTCTAGAAACTCGTATTGCCTCCTTTCTCCTCTCCCGCCAGCCGCTCATGACGTGAAAATCCACATGCACATTATATATACATATGTATAAACAAATACAAATGGAAATAGGTAAGGTATACGTTCGTATACGGATACATACGTATACTAAGTTACATACGTACGTACACAGTTGTTAAAAGGTCGGTATCGTGAGCAAAACGAAGGAACCGACCGTCAACGAAGATAACCGTATACACCCGAGGAACGATTCACCGCGAAACTTGATTCGACTCGAGCGCGAGCAGCCGGTCAGTCTCTCGCTGACGCTCGGTGCGACGAGTACTGATCGGTTTGGTTATGGACAGGAGGTTTCGTGTGTGCACATAGATCATTATTACATTCTACATATTATAAATAAAAAAAGGGAGATTAATAAACATAAAAAGTTCTGCGAGGACAGTTAATTCGACCTTCTCCTCCTTCGAGGAGAGGGCGGAGGGCGATAAGTCCTCCGCCTTAGGTCTCTACCCTCTCCATCTTTCTTTCTCTCTTTCTTTCTTTCATTCATTCTTTCTTTCTTTCTTTCTTTCTTTCTTTCTTTATCTTTATTATCATTATAAAGTAAAATATTTTTTCCGGGAGGTTCGTTCTTCGGAGAAAAATTTCGATTAACGTCAAAAATGAAGTTCGTTCGAGGTATCCTTCGACGGGCATGGAAAGTAACACCGAGCCACGTGGAGCGGCGAAACCTCGTGTTCTCCACACGACTGCTTTTTATCCTTCTTCTCGTAACTGGTGAGTTTTTTTTTATGTATATATATATATATATATATATATATATATATATATATATATATATATAAATATATATGTGTACACATATAAATAGAGGAGATATTTAGAAAATTATTAAACGTTTAATAATTTGAGCTTTTTTATACGATAAGGATTTAGTGAGATTAATTTAACGTTAAAAAGTTTTTTCTTCTTTCGTAAAATTATTAAACGTTTAATAATTTGAGCTTTTTCATACGATAAGGATTTCGTGGGATTAATTTAACGTTAAAAAGTTTTTTTCTCCTTTCGTAATTTTCTTTCTTTTCTTTTTGCTTTTCTCTTTTTTTCTCTCTTTTTTCTTTTTTTTCTTTTTTTTTTTTTTTTTTTTTTTTTTTTTGTTAAATATCTCTTTAACGACATATCGTGCAGCGAATATTTGATAAATGCAGAGGTGCAGAAATCAAAGGGCGTGCAAAACTCTCCCGACGGATTTATGGATTTGTAACGGAGAAAGTATATTTGTAATTTCATTGGTACGTTGAAAGATAGAATCCGCATGGGTTGAATTGGCTGGATGACTCGGAAAAACCGGCTGTTTTTGCGGTACGTTAAACTAGCTTGTTTGGTGAGAGCGCACGATTGCGGTGAATGATGGAAGTATTTCTGCAACTGGTGTGCAATCGTTGCCGCTGTAGGAATTCATACCCTAGAATGATGATGATGGTGGATAGCGTTTTCGTTTTAAAAAGTTCTTTTTTTATTTTTTTTTTTTTGCTTCTTCTTTTCATTTCTTTTTAACATATATCACATACTTCGACGCGCTTATCGTTATTAATATTACATTATTATAATTACATACAAACGATATCGATAATGTTAATGACGTTCCGTTAATTTTTAATTTTTTTTTTTTCTCCAACTTTACATAATTTATTGTAAAATTTATTGTTATGGTAAATACAGTATAACGATACGTTTTGGGGGATAATAACAATCGTCGCTACGTCGTAAATTTAACATGAAAAACGGTCGATGCGAGATATCATTGGAGAAGAGAGAGAAAGAGAGAGGGAGAGAGAGAGAGAGAGAGAGAGAGAATTGATAAAATTTATATAAACGCATTGTGTTAATATGTTAAATAATAAAAAGAAAAAAAGATAAAAAGATAAAAAGAAACAAGGAAAAAAAAAGGAAGAAGAAAGAAAGAAAAGAAAAAGAGAAAAAAAGGGAAATACGTAAAATGTATAATAGTAATTTCTCAGTAAAATAAATTACTGGTGATTAGTACGAAGATAAACACGTCGGCTACGTATTAACATTTTTATGACCTTGTTTGACATATACATATACACGTAGATTCACATAACGCTATGTCATTGACTGTTGGTAGTTTATCGTATACGCTTTAGAAGTATTAAGAGCGTCCCAGATAGGAAATTTACGAGAAATATGGGAAGATTAAGGATGATACAGCTAGAACGTTGGAGTATCTGACAATAAGCCGACGTATGTGGCAGAGTGAATCTGTTGTAAAGGGTGTGAAAACGCAAGCCGACGCTAACCCCTAAGCCGATTGTTCAATCACTGTGACGTTACATATGTATGTATATATGTATCTATGAAATTCAATTTTTTTTTGTTTTCTTTTTTTTCGTGCTTCATTTTCTTTTTGGTTTTTTTTTTTTTTTCTTTTTTTTTCTATTCATCGTTGATCACGTCTCTCACGATCCATGTTTGATCCATGTTATACGATATTTATTTAATAAAAATTATTTACATACGTAATATAATTTATATCGATAATTTTGTAAATGATTAAAGTTCATATATAGGAACACGATCGTTATCGTAAACGTAGTTAAAGTAAACGAAGTAGGAACATCGTGTAATAGAGTAATAATCGAGTATTCGAGTAGGCGTTAAGAGATAATATCGAGGGTTGTTTCTCTAAACAACAAGGAGACGATATACACGATAATCCAGGATATCTATGGTGCAGAGAGATTGTTGAAACAAAATTCACTTCCTTCGGCTATATGGCATCTCGAAGTTTACTGTACGTGAATTCCCTCTGCCCTGAGGATATTACTCGTACGTATTATGCGGCCTATGTATTGCGAAATTAGTCCGTACAAGCTATGTGTAGTTATGTACTATACCTAGTCTATACCTAGATTTGAGAATCTTGATGTAAAGTTAATTGCCAGATTTAATTTTTCAATGTTACGAAGGAGGTCATTCTAAATAGGTTAAAAAAGGCTTGAAAAAGGGATTCAGGGGGACTTTGGGGGATTTTAAAAGGGTTGCTTTTTTAAAAGAGGACTAACTTGATTATGAGAGTAAGTTAATACGTCGATTTATTACGCGAGAAGAACACGATGTTTTCTTCTTCATCTCTATTTTATTCTTGTTATTACATTTAGAATCTCGTTGAATTTCTATTCGTTCTATTATAATTGCATTTAATGTTTCTCTTCTTTTCTTATTTATTTATTTCATTTCATATATCTAACTATCGTAAAATAACAACTCGTATTTTATTTATATATAAGAATATAATTATATATATTAGATAAATTAGATGAACTCTATTTCTTCTTCTTTAAATTTAGGTTACAGAATTGACGTGTTACATCGAAAAAGAGAGAAAAAAAAGAGAAAGAAAAAACCCGCGATGAGGTTTCGTTTTGAAAATGCACTTTATATTATATTATATATATATTTCGTGGGCGATTAAAATCTCTTCAAATCGTTTTGGCCATTTTTTAATTTTCTTCACGTTTTTCATCCAGCAGTGATTTTTCGTTTTCTTTTACGCTTTGATAGATCCCTTACCGTCATTAATTATACATATTTACTCTTTGATAAGAATTTTTAGAGTTGCCATTTTACCATTGGCTTACTCTTTTTCTTTTTTTTTTTTCGGCGAGTTTTATGCGATTTACGATCAACGTTAATGCGATAAAAGCGAAAAGTTAGTTCGATCAAAGAGAGTACCAAAGGAGCGTGTGCCTGTAATGTATGTATGTATATCATACATATATATGCTTCATATATATATATATATATATATATATATATATATATATATATGTATATATATATCTCTGAACTGCAGCAGCACTTGGGAAGAGCCTGTGTTAATCGATCAGCCGCTTTGACATAAGCCGCGCATTAATAATTCCCACGAGAATTAACGATTACATCGTAGTAGTTACGATCGATCGATCGATCGATCGACCGATCGATTTATTTGATGAAATTGTCGCCTTTAGATCGTATAAAAGATAAATTCATTTTTAGTCTATCTCATATATATATATATATATATATATATATATATATATATATAATATCTTATTTATATTTATATATATCTCATAAATTTTATTTATTTATTATTTAAAGTTCGAGAGAAAGAAAGAAGGAGAAAGAGAAAGAAAGAAAGAAAGAGAGAGAGAGAGAGAGAGAGATAAAATTGATTTGAATTGATTGATAAATTCAATTGAACTCGTAAAAGTGAAATTCTCAAGTGAGGTGTAAAGTCGGTCGTTAATTAAGGTTAATACGACGGATGATCAACGTAAATCTTCCTTCATGACGTTCAGCTAATGTCGGTCAGAGATAGTGGCAAGTTTGTAGGTGGTATGTTGTAACGGGCAGTAGATAGCAATGATTTTGATCAGATGATTGAAACGGAGCTTGCACGGCATGCACAGTCCTTTCCTTTGTACATACAACTACAACATTCCACGCGCATTTCTGTTCCGCATATCTTCATTCCATTACCTACGTTATGTTCTGTGCTAACGGAAATTACGCTATTGCACGCTCGTAAAACGAATAACATTGGGTAAAAATGAAATTTATTAGTTGAAACACAGTGAACGCATAGTAAAAAAATTTGTCTGTTCTTTTTTCTTTTCTCTCTCTCTCTCTCTCTCTCTCTCTCGCTCTCTTTCTCTCTCTCGCTCTCTCTCTCTTTCCCTCTTTCTTTTCTCTCGTATAACGCGTATATATCTTTCTATGTAGGTATATACGTATATACGTCCTTTATGCATTTCCCTTTTAATTACGATATTAGCTGCATGTTTCGTGGTACAAAGCTTTCGAATTCTGGGTAACGTGGAAGTACCGTTGGTTATGTTAACTTTCACAGCATAATAATAAATCGTTTTTCATTTTTCTCGGGGAAAATCTACTCCCTTTTCGGACCGTAGAGAAAACTTTGTAAATGTTTCCTTCCGTAGTATAAAAGTGGGGAAGGGAAAAAAGATATGAGTGAGTTGGTTTAGGGTTATTTCTTTCCTAGATTCGAGTGAATATTTTTTTCTTTCCTTTTTTGTTTTTTTTGGTCTTTCTTTTTGTCTTTTTCTTTTTTTTGTTTTTTTTTTTTTTATTTTTTTTTGTTTCTTCTTTCTCTTCTTTTCTAAGAAGACAGGACAGGAGGCTCGGGAGAAACTTTTGGGAAAAGGAAAAAATAATTTACATATGTATATACATATGTATTTATGTATATATTTGTATGTATATATATATATACATATATATGTATATTATATACTCGAAAGACGCCACGTTGTAGGCGAATACAATACGAGTCTTGTTAGGGAATATTTTTATCTCTCTATTTCTCTTTTTTTCTTCTTTATTTTTTCTTCTTTCTTCTTTCTCTTTCTTTTTTTTTCCCCATAGCGAATGTTTCTTCAAATCTTTGAGCTTTTACTTCTTCGACGACAATGAACAATAATAAATGCAGGAAGGAAGAGTTCTTTCCATGTACGTAAATCATGTCAAGCATTTGGATTTACAACCAACGGACTGACCATTTCGTTCAGGTCGATAGATCGTACGAAACTTCGTATGTATTTATGTATGTATTTCGAGATGTCTGACTGTAACGGTCTTCCATCACTGTGACTTTCCTAAGTGAGTTAAGCTCTCCAGCTTGTTCATACTTTTTCATATCGCTATATGTTTTATATAGGACTAATTGATGGATCGATTGAGAGTACCAT